ATTCACCATCTCCTGGTGATTGGCCCAAAGTCACCCAGATGGTTTTCGTGCATAAGACAGGACTAGAACTCCCAGATGCCTGGTGATTGACCCGAAGTCTAGATTCTAGGTTCTAGGATCAGATCCAGGAATGTGCTTCATTTATGAACCAGGCCTTACCTTGGCTTGCACAGCGTAGGATGCTAGAAGGACGGAAGCTTCCGGAGGACAGTAGATCTTCTCATCCAAGATCTGTTTCTTCACCTGAACGAGGCAACAATGAAATGCCAAGACGGTGAAGAAGCAGCTTCCAACCAGCCAGTTTATTACCGATGATCATTCTTAAGCTGCCATCCTGAATGTATATATAATTACTAAGCCTTCGCTGAACACTTGAGGGATTTATGCTGGAATATACAAAGCTCCCCAATTTTTTTTTATTTTAAAAGAAATGTAAGTTGCAGAACCAAGGATGCAAGAGGAATGTTTGGGGAGAACATTCAAGTCCCCCCAAATCAGGATTTCCAAAGAGGTTTTGCAGCTTTGTTGAAATGGCATAAAAATATGAGCAGATCCGTCGTGCCTAATCAAAATGTTCATCCCTGCACCCATTTTAAAAGCAAAATTTTAAAAGGTGGTGCGAAGGCAACCCAAGTTGTGTTCGGTGCTCCCCGTTCCGAATCGATTCTACTTTTATTTCACTAATCTTTTAGCCATCTCTGCTCAGACATGGCTTAACATGATCATCCATCTCATTTTATTCTCTCCGCCACGGATAGAGAACAGATTTTCTTTCTTCTTCTTCTTCCTGCAGCAGGGGTTTGAAACGTGATCTGCTGTACTTTCTAATACATATGTAAATGAAAAGATTTAATATATTCTTAAGAGCTCTTTAGAAATGCATAACGCACCTCACGGAAAGGAATAACCAAGTTTGTTTTGGCTGGCTCTATTCTTTTTTAAACACCATTTTAATTGGTTTTTTTTTCTTTTTAATACAAGAAAGTTTGCAATATCCTGGCAGGAACATACTGTATGACTGAAGGAACAGGGAGCCCAGAATGTTAATAATTTTGTTCTAAGCTCCAATTAAGCTTGGCTTGACATCTATTTCTTAACCTCAGATAACACTGAGACAGTGTTATGTGCCCCTTATTAAACCGAAGAAGTTTGTGGATATGTAAAGATTTCGCTCCCTTATTTTTCCAGTTGTCGGACTGTGCACGACGTACAAATATGAAAACTGCATATACTTTTCTCTGCGCGGGGATGAAACCGCGGCTCCCATTTTGCTTCCTCCCACCAGCGGTGGCTGTGGGATTTGCACCCCCAACATAGGGTGCATGGAACATTTTGTCTAGAGGTCACCCCACAACTTTTACAGAACCACAATTGAGAGCAGAATTTCCATCGCTAAACGAGACCTTTGGATTTTACAATCTGAAAATGCCTCTCCGGTGGCTGGGCAGGTATCACACTGCCCCTTATAAAAAGGCCTTACCTGTAGGAAGAATAGGTGCTGGGTGATTTCCTGGACCAGCTCTTCTTCTGCGTTCTCTGGGTAAAACTTAGCCAGGAAGTAAAAAGTAACTGGTTCCTCCTTTGGGACATCATGGTCCAGCACCTGCAGAAGGATGAAACACTCCGATGAAACGCTCCAAATCTTTGCAGAATTTCTCTTTTATTACTCTTCGTCCGGGTTGGTTTAAGAAGGCATGGTTTAGGGAACAAACCGCAGTTGGCAGGGCTCGCAGGATATAATAAACCATGGCTTAAAATCACAGTCCCCTCATCAAGAAAGAAGTAAGCCTGTAGCACAAGGGTCTTCAAACTTGGCCAAGTTTAAGACTTGTGGACTTCAACTCCCAGAATTCCTGAGCTAACATGACTGGAGGAGGAGGAGGAGGAGGAGGAGGAGGAGGAGGAGGAGGAATTCTGGGAGCTGAAGTCCACAAGTCTTAAAAGCTGTCAAGTCTGAAGTCTTACCTGTAGTGTGTTTTTGTAGTTCGTAAGCCACCTAACGTCACACTGAGTGAGCAGGCGGCTATATAAATGTTCGAAATAAATAAAAATAAAATTTGCCCAACCCACCTCGATCAAAAACGGTCCTGGCAACCATTGCACTTTTTTTCTTCGGCCTTATGTTAAAACCTGTTATTTTCAGGTGCTCCCAAAGACCCAGGGTCTTTACTAATTAGGGAACGGCAGCTGGATGAGAAAGCCGCAAGATGCTCGCAGTGACCATGGAGCACATTGTCATCTTCAGCAGATGTTCTAGCAGCTGTTGGAGAGTCTCATTAGTCTGTGCAGACGTGTCCAGTTAGAGGAAGAGACCTTGAGGGCCTGATCCTAATATTAATGCATTGAGGATCAAAGGTTACCCAATTTTGGCAGCTTGAAAACAGACTAAGGTGAGACCGTGTATTCGCTTGTCCTCCAAGTAAGTAGCACAAAACTGTTGTTTTTTTTTAAATCCAAATCAACCCTTGGAGAAGACTTTCGTGGTTAGGGTAGGTTAAAAATGGACGGTACAATTCTTTGTCGTTTCGAGGTGGGGAAATTGGTAAGTTCTTAAATTAGATAGGCTGTATTATTATTATTATTATTTTAAAGAGAATGTCTATCTATGGGGATTCTTAGTCCTCCATGGTTGTCCCAAAGACGTTTTTTTTTTTTTCCAGAGATAACTGGACTTTCTGGCTTTTCTTTGAAGACATTTCGCTTCTCGAGGACCAAGTTTGGGGCAGGTCTGACACAATCCATTCCACCTGCCTGGGGGCTGCACTGTTTCCTTGCTCTCCTGAAAGCAGCCGATCTCCATCAGGATCTAAGGCAGGGGTCTCCCAGCTTGGCAACTTACAAGGCTGGTGGACTTGTTGGTGGGGAATCCTGGGAGTTGAAGTCCACAAGTCTAAAAGCTGCCAAGAATTCCCCAGCCAGCCATGCTGCATAGCACATTTATGCACATTTGTTATGGTGTTAGGCTGGTTTTCAGATTCCCCGTGCTGGATGGGGAATTCTGGGAGTTGAAGTCCACAAGTCTTGCCAAGGTTGGAGGCCCCTGTTCTAGACATTTGAGCTTTGAAAGGGCACATCCCTTACCTTCTTGTCTGTTTTGAGCCAGGCTATCGTGTCCTTCATCATGTACTGCAGCCCAAAGAACCATGTTTCGCGGAGTCCCAATGTCCTACACACCAGGTCGAAGAGGTCCTTTCCTTTCCATTTCACCTGCACCAAGAAACGAAGTTAGGAAGTTAGAAGATCTTCTTCCCAAACCAAGTTGCCTTCAGTTTGTTCTGCTTCCACCCCAGTTGGGATTTGTGTGTGTGTGTGATTTAAATGGTTTCATAGTTTAATTCTAGTATGAGAAAATTCCATAAATGTGTAAGATGATCTATGCTAAAGTAGAGCAAATAACCTTTTAACTTGGCTACTAGCCTTTTATTCTTTAAAAAAAAATAATAATAAAGTTTAAGTTTCATATATTTAAAACATTTAGTGCCTGGGAATTTGGGAAATCTTCATAAAGAAGATTAGATACAACAACCCTTTCTCAGAAAGTCAAGGACAAGTTGCCCTGCACCTGGAGAGGAGTGTCTGGAGGAATGTCTCCAGCTGGGACGATGGTTGATTGGGCCATGTGATGGACGGATGGGTGCAGGGGATGGAACTTGGATTTCTCTTTCGGGAAAGGAAAACCCAGAGCTCTCCGATTCGGGTTTTCCCAGATGGGCCAATATGACTTCTTCAATAAATTCTTACTTGGATGAACTTTGCTTCTGAGTGCGGAATAAGAACGGGAGGTTTAATTGGGACGCTGGTACCTGGTTCATTCTAAAGGATCAAGAAAGCCAAGGTTTCTGCTAAAGGCACAGAGTCCTCCAGAGCAAGGGGCTTTTCAAACTTGGCCACTTGTGGACTTCATATCTCAGAATTCCTGAGCCTTTCTCTGCAGCTCTCCTGTAATCGGATGAAGAATTGTGCAAAAGGGGACAAAGGGGTTTGTACACAACCTGCTTGTTGTGATTGCAGCACCGAAGGCTGAGTCCACACTTCACGTGGCTAAACGGTGATAAAAATCGGTTGGGGGTGTGGGGGGGGGGGGGGAAATGGACTTAATGTGACATGCTAATCCTGCCAAGGGCGGCTTACTTAAACAAACCACAATTAAGGCTCACTGTGGTGAACCTAATTGGCACGGCGAACGCCAAAAAAAAAAAAAAAGAGAGAGAGAGAGAGAGAGAGATAAATAATCTGTATTTGCAAACGGGCTTCGTTTCGTTCCCTCGGCTCGCGTTCGGGTTAGAAAGACGGCGAGAACACGCGGCGGTTTCCCTCTCCGCATCTTCTGTCCAGGCTCCAAAGGGAAAGATTGACAAACGAAGAGGCGGTGAAGGATAAGAGGCAGGCCGCGGATAAGTCATCCTTGGCTAAAGGGAGGCTGGTAGGAAACGCAGGCAGAGAAAAGGCGCAGCAGCGTCCACAGATGCAGACCGGGTGCCCAGAGGAATCGGTGTTTTCAAACTCCAGCTGTGCTTTGCTAGGAAGGAGGACAAGGATCTTCCCCCGCTCACCCTCTTTCCTTCCTTCCTTCCCTCCCTCCCACCCTCCCTCGACGGAATTCAAGCCCAGCCACAGACTACAAATGAAGTGGAGCCTTATGTTACCCGGTGCAAAGTCTCTAATGAAGTTGGGGAAAACATTAGAATGCTGCAGTTCTTGGGAAACGAGAAAAGGGGGGGTGGGAGAGAGAGAGAGAGAGAGAGAGAGAGAAACAGGGAAGCCTGCTTGGGTGTTTGCTTCAAACTTTCAAAGACAGCAGGAACAGAGCTGGAAGGGATCCTGAAGGTCTTCTAGTCTAACAGATTAATGGGAAATTTAGCAAATGTTATCTACAAGAGCCGTGGTGGTGCAGCAGTCAGAATGCAGTATTGCAGGCTAACTGTGCCAGCGGTTCGATCCTGAGCAGATCAAGACTGACTCGGCCTTCCATCCTTCCGAGGTCAGTAAATGAGGACCCAGACTGTTGGGAGAAAGAGGCTGACTCTGTTAACCACTTAGAAGCTGTATGTAAGTGCTATTGTTATTTTTCCTTCCTCCCTCCCTCCCTTATAATCTTTCTCTTTCTCTCTTTCAATTCTTTTTCCTTCCTTCCCTCCCTCCTTCCCTTCCTTGTAATCTTTCTCTTTATCTCC